AATTTCTTTTGACAAAAACTTTTGTAAAGAGTTCATTAATTATATATTAAGTACTAGTATATAATTATATATTAAGTATATAATGTCTGCAAAATAAACTTAAGGCGATAGTTGTCGGAAATGACAGCTATCGATACATCATGCAAAGCAATCCCTAGCGATCGTAGACTATGTAGATTTTATGAAGAAAAAAGAAAGATTAAAATGATACTGTTGAGCTAGGTGATTTTAAAAACATTATTGTAACTAGATGAAATCTAACGCGCAAGCGCGGGGAATTGAATTTATACCACTACCGACAGAAAATATATTGTACTTTCTACTGTCTACAGGGTTATAACAGGAAGAAATACTTTGTTCAAAATCCCGCATGTGCGTCTCCACCCCCACCCCCACCCCCTTTTGTAAAAACATGAAAAAAATAACAATTTCATTAATTGATATTTATTGTGAAACCTGTTATACTATGTTATGGATATATATATTGTATGCTCTTATTTCATTTCCGTCAAGGATGAATTAAAAGCAGCGAATATGCACATTTTACTGATAAATTGATTTATTTGGGGGGGGGGGGGATTCACAGGTACTTGTGTCTTGGTTTATAAATATGTATGTACCTTATTGATATGTAAAAAATGTACTTTACCTTTTTTATATATCAATAAGGTTCATACATATACATAAACCAAGACGCATGTATCTGTGTAAAAATTAGCTTTTAACGCCTTATGAATAGGCTGAGTATTTGATACAAAAGACTGTATTAAAAAAAAAAAAAAAAAAAAAAAAAAAAAAAAAAAAAAAAACTGAAATGTATTGATTAAAGCACAAAATTTTACAGCTTTAATTGTATTTGAACAATATCTTATTCATTAATTTTCTCTTTTCATGTAAGCAGTGAGGAATACATACACATTTTACCGATAAATTTATTGGGAAAACCTACTACATATATGTAATAGTCTATCGATACATAAATATATTCACAACTTATAGTGTTATCAATGATTTACCATTATTTCAATGACCATTCACAGATAAGCTTTTCTTATGATCCTACAGCTGTAATTGTCTCGTTTAACATCGGGCTCGATGCCATATGATGTTCTAGAAGCTTCCGTCAATATTAAGATCGGTGAATAACAAAAATAATTTGCACAATTCCCTTTTTAATCGGTTATCACAACTTATTTCTTTTATTTCATTTAAATCAAGTTTTGATTGAATAATTCAGTGATGACGTTTTATGAAATAAATAAACGATTGATTGTTGTCAGTTTCATTGAAAATTGCCGAAAACTTAGATCCGCCAACCGGAAACGCCACCGTACTCACGGTTTTGCTATTTCATGGCTGTTTATAGAAAATAAAAGTAGACTTTCAATTTAATGTACGATACTTACAATGCGAGTGAAATCCAAATATAGTTTACGGACATCATATTGTATCTAGTGTATTCTTACAGGAGTAAGTAAAAACTCTGGTGAATCCGTTTCGGAGTTTATTTGCAAAATTTATTAATTTATATGTATAGATATGGAAAAATAAAATTGTGCTAAGTATTATTCACAAAAAGATATTGGTTGAAAAGTTATTTAAAGACATTTACCAAAGTCAGAATGACAGTTTTATTTAACTCTTCTGCTCATAGCTAAAGTGAGCGTTTCTGATCAAAAGGTGTCAGGCATCCATCTGTCGTGTATATCTGTCGTCTGTATTTTTTTTTTTCATTTTCGACTTCTTTTTCAAGAAACAGTGGATCAATCTCAGCCAAACTCCTTCTAATGAAGGATCATACCCTCTTTCAAGGGGAGATAATTAAGAATTAGTGAAAATTTAATGGCGCATGTTTTAAAAATCTTCTCAAGAACGACTGGGCGAGAAAAGAGGAAAAGTTATGTTAAAGCTTTATTGCATAGTGTAGATTCATTTTTTTTTCAAACCACGACCCCCGAGGCTAGGGCGGGGCCACAATCGGTGATTAGAATTTTACATAGGAATATAAGTAAAGAAAAAAATTCTTTTAAAATCTTCTACTCACGAACAACAAATCCACGATTAGTCACATTTACTAGTATACGGAGGAATCCTAATGTAGTGTAGTTTAAAATTGTGAAGTTCATGGCCTCTGGGGGGTAGGGTAGGGCCACAATATATTATCAAAGTTTACATGGGAATATCTGCCAGAGGACAGCAGGACCATAGTAACTAAGGTAAGCGATGTGACCCATGGGCCTCTTGTTAAGTCTTTAAATGTTACAAACTATAATTATCCTTTAAGTGATTCCAAAAATATATAGTTGCTAAGCAAATCTCAACATTTTGGTTATGAGAACAACGAAAACTAAATTAAAATAAAGTTGTTACCGAATCGTCAGTGTTTGCCATTTTAACATCCATCCGCTGTTCAAGACAGCCAAAATATCTTGACCCACCAAAATCAAGCGCTTGCAGCACACTTATTAAACAATACAGACTATCCACATTTTGCAGTTATGTCGTTAAGAGCTTAAATTTATTATATACAACAAGAAATGAGGCCGTGGAGTAGCAGTTTTAATTGTATAAGCTCAATTTGACCAAATTTTCTTGAACGACGTCGACGATTGAAATTTAACTTTATTCTGTTCTTATTTAGTTTTAATAAGAAATCATAGTTTTATTTTCTACAGAAAAATAGTTTATGGTATGGTCAAGACGGGAAACCACCATAAGTTAGTAAATGAATGTTAAAAATAGTCAAAAATATTATAAAAAATCAGGTTTCTGTCATAGCGAAAAACAACTTTGCCGTCTGTCGTCCCAGTTGCATCGGCAGTCCCAGTTGCCGGTAATAGGGTGTGATTAGACTTAATGATAGATTGTATTTACTGACAAGGTCAATGTATTGACCATTGAACTTGCGAAATATAAACTTTAAACGAAACTGTTTCATCAACTTGTTTGTTAATAGTTTGATTCGGTTTAGAAATTGTTCGTACATAGAACATGATCTTGCATATCGAGAAATAGACTCCATAAATTTGCAGTATATATGTAGTGTATATTGCTACACAAGTAAGGGAAGTTGACGATAGAAAAGTTGAAGTCATCACGTTTCTCATAATTTTTTATTGTTAGGTTATCATTAACGCCTTTTTCTATTTTTCTAGTAAAATATCCAAATATGAAACAGATATGTCAGAATCTAATGTGACATGAAGTCATAAACATGTGATTTTTACATCTGTGATTTACAAGCAAATAGAACATTACAGCAAAGTAAGTCTGACATTTCAATATTGATACTAGTACTTGAAACAATCTACAGTCATATGCTTAATTAACTTTTTAGTGAATGAATGGAATTAGAATGTTCTATCTCAAGTAGAATTGCATAATTATATTAAAAAAATGCAGTGCAGAGTATATTTTGGAAGGTTATCATGATTTCGTTTGTCTTACTAAATCGTTTTATGCAATGATTTAGGACCATAGAACTCTCTCTCTCTCTCTCTCTCTCTCTCTCTCTCTCTCTCTCTCTCTCTCTCTCTTTAATCCCTATACATGGAGACGCTTGATTAAATCAGAAATCATTCAGAAGAAGGAGATCATAACAAACTTTAGATTTTGAAATTGAAATACTGATATTTATATCTTTGAAAGTAAATAAATTGACTATTAGCAAATCAATTCAAGTTTAAAATCTTTTAAAAGTACGAATCGCCATAATCCACTGTGTCGGGTTAATTAGGTTACATGGTTGAATAGATTTCTATAGCTATTATCTAATTTTGAGGAATAAGGATTTCTTTTATAACAGTTAATCTGACCGGATCACGGATCAGATTTCTTCTACAATTTAATCCTTATTGATAGAAAGTACAAAAGTTAATATCCTAAGGTCTATCCTATTAGAATGTTTAAGTCCCTGTTGAGTTATTTTGTGATTTGTACTTATATTTTTGATGATTTCGTAAAGGGACAATTGCTGTCTTTTTCCGATATTCAACAATGATAGATAATCCTAGACTTCTTTCTGTTATGAAGGATCCCTACAGTCTTTTAAAGCTTATTGGATGTCTTTTTAATTGTATATTTCATGTATTTTACATGGACATTTCTCCTTGCCCTAGAATGTTTCTATTTCTTAGAGATTGATTGACTATTGTTTCACGTCCCATTAGAAAATATTTCACTCACTGGTCATTCACCATGTACCAGTGAAGGGCTTCAAATTGAGACCTATGCTCGACATTCAGGGCCATTGACCCTTGAGGGTTCTTTATCGTGAAAGCTCCTGTCGTGAAACGGGACCTCAGTTTTAAAGGTCTCATCCGAAAGACGTGACTTTCACTTCTAGTGCCAGGCGCTTGGCGAAGGAACAATCACTACCTATATTCACGTCTTGCATTGTTGATATTTCGTTATCTCTCTCACGTTTCCAATTTTTCTCGCTCTTTTAAAGGTGAAAATAAAGAACAGTGTCGTGGAATCTATTAACAACAGGGATCCCTGATATACAAGAGGTGGGATCAGATGCCCCAGGGCAAGCTTCTCCTTCTGTTTACGTCTATAGTCAGTAAAAACTTCCAGATACGAAACACAAGGCTTACTGTCTGGTGTCTTTTTTTCGAGTTTAGTGGGATATATCTACTTATACAGATGAATGAAAATGAATATTATTCAATAAAACATTTCATATGTGACAGCAAAGTTTTTCTTATTATTATCATAATATAAGAATTTTTGAATAAATTCTGCTTCAAATGAATATATAAACAGGTCGACTGATAAAATTGCACAATATATAAACAGGTCGACTGATAAAAGAGCAAAATCTGTGCCCTTGGGAATTCAAACAGTTTGTTAAGAAAACCTGGTCTTTAAAAATAAATATAGATAGATATGAATAAGAAAAACCTAGTATTTTTAAGAACAACTTGTTGAGTACTTGTTTGTAGAATCAGTCATATTATATGGTTGTTTAAACTCTACACATATTCATTTTAAGGACGCATGGATCCCGAGGCCCTAGCAGCGATTGGGCAGCGAGACTTAACAGAAACGGAGAAAAAAGGTAACATATAAGTAATAAAATATTTCATTTTGAAAAGCTAGTTATAAACAAGAGGCCCATGGGCCACATCGCTCACCTGAGTCATCTTGGCCCAGCTAAAATGAAATATGACCTAATATCCTGGCTTCATCGAAATTTAGACCAAATGTGTTCTGACACAAGTAAATTAAATCCACACAATAATAATAATTTTTAGTGATGAAATGTGTACTTTATACATACATGTAGAAGTTTTAAGGCTTTGGACATGCATATTCAATAATTTCTTTCATGACCTTAAGACTCTTCAAGACATATTTTGCTTGAAGAAGTTCGATCAGTTATTTAACTCCCTTCAGTCAATAAGGAAAACACATAATTATGATTGTGTTCAAAAACTTTATTCATTTACAAGAAATTTATGCAAGTCTTAAGGATAATCTGAATGTAACACTATGCAACTTTTTAGGAAAAATAGGAGATAAAATGTTAGACAAGCTGGTACAAATCAAATTATGTTGACACATTTGAGACTAGTAAATATAATTTGAAATATATTACTCATTTGTTGTTAAACTACATGTACTTTCATGTATATACATCTGAAGTAATAGGTCAAAAACATGTATTTATAGTAATCACTGTAATTAAATATGAATTTAAAAATTGCAAATGACAATAAATAAAAAATGAAAAGTAAACAGCATGGAAAAATTTGAGTATGCTCACATGAAAATTCAGTCATAATATGCATGTGTGTCTTACGAAATATAATCACTCAATATAGATAACCTTTCCCTACGAAAACGAAAGAAGGGAAAGATTATGTGGAAGTGAATGAGAATTAGAGAAAGAAAGAAGCTTAATTTCAGGTTTTACTATATACATAAAAATTTGCCTTAAATTGTGTAATATTAAATGACAATAATGATGTTTATTTTGGATAGATAATTGCAATACCAGAACCTCAGACTCAAATAATCTTATTGAAAAAATAAGGTAGCTTTTTTTTCTTCTTCAGTTTTTAAATCTAATTGTAGTAAAATCATGTGCTATCATTTTTGAGAGCATTTTTTCCAATATTTTTCAGAAAGAGGTAGGTTTACCTCCCTTTACGGGCTGGCCATTGACCTCCTCTTTCCATACTTACTTGTAAATTATACATTTTGTACACAAAGTTGATTTAAAGAAAGTCATCATTAATTACTTGATAATCACAAAAATCTACATGATCCATGGTAGGTGGAATTCATTTGAATCATATCTGAGGTTTCACAATGAAAAACCTACTGTATAATGTAATTATTAAACTGTAAGCATTAAAATTGTTATTCACAAAGGTTATTTTCAAGAGGCATATTTTTAAAAGAAGTTCACAATACAAATAAGACGAAATCTAACTATAATTACTATTTTGTATTAGTTTTATCATTCGTTTCTAGCAAACAAGTTAGAAGATTGACTGGCACATATATCCATGCAATTAAATGTTCAAAATATTTCAGCAAAAGTTACAAGTCTGTCAATGAAGAGATCCAACTCGGTGGTTTCCAGATTCTATAAGGTGCCACATATTCATTTCAGTAATATATGTATATTATATCTGGCAATTACTGCTTGGAGTGTCAAAATCACATACAGTAGCTTCAAAAGAGTCAGATTCACAGCTAATAGCATGGTCTAAGAATCACAATCACTGTAGTCTATGAAAGAATATCCTTCAATTGCAGAAAGATCACAAGGTATTACAATGAAAAGCTCCCAACAGAAAAATTCAGTTTTCAGTATAAAATATAATCCAAATGTCACAAGGGACAGATGGAGCATGACTTCTGAAACATCAATACTTTTTGTAATTTAAGACACTAACCCTATAAATTGTAATACATATACATGTATTCAGAATAGATAAGATATATCCTATAAAATGAACTACAAAATGAATATACAGGATTACATGTAACAATAATGGAAGTATAAAGAAAAATCTCAACAAATTTACAAACATTATATTCGAAAGTATACCTTGTTATATATATATTTATATATACATGAAGAGTTGTTCAAAATTTTACATATCTTAAAAATAAGCTGAGACTTCAACAGTAGATGTACTGGTAATTGGTGAAAATGTAATTACATGTATTGTATGAATATGACCTTACTTTGATTACATTAAGAATTCAGTACAACTTGTTGTAAAAGCAGCTAAAAAAAAAATAATTTTTACAAAGGAAATCCTATCCAAGTGAACATATATACATGTACATCAACACAATAAGAAACAAATATGCAAAAGACACTCGGGTTAAAAATTTAAATGTCTCAAAAACAACTGTATAATAATGCAAACAAAGATTAAGTAAAAAATTCACATTTTCAAAGCTTTATGTTATAATAAAAAAATATAATATATATTTTATAAGGTGCCTTACAACTAACACTGGATGCCTAAATAGGACTGATACCCCCGTCAAGGTAAGGTGGAGACATGCTTCTCTGAAATCTTGCATAAATCATACTGCAAATCCCATGTCCTTAATCTTGTTGAGATGACTGCAATTTGCTGAGGGTCATGATAGTTTCTACCTTCATATTGAAAAATGACCTTATATATACAATCATAGCATGAGATTACGACAGACCTCCTCTTCTCCTCTGAGCAACATTTGCCAAAGTTTGACCTTGTTTAATCCAAAACCAAAATTTTGTCTGTCAGAATTATACACATTTGAACTCTGTGACCTTGATCTTTTCTCAAATTACCTTTCTTAATTGTCATGACATTATCATAAATTTTTTTTAAAAAGTTTCAGATATTGACAAAGCCACAGACAGATGGACATGTTGATTCCAGTATACCCCTCAAACTTTGTTTGAGGGGCATAATAAAACACTGGAACAAAGGGATGAGGGAGGGGGCATTCTTAAGCATCTCCCTCTGAAATGTTTTACTTTGGTGCCCCATTGTATTTAACGCATAGTCTTATCAAATGCACAGTACACCATTTTATGATCTGACCAGTATGCTTCAATCACATCTGTTTCACATGGGGATATGTTAGTAAAAATCAAGTCAAGTTGAGAACCAGAGTCATGAGTACTCTTACTCACAATTTGTTTACAGTTGAAACCTTTTTCCATAAATGTTAGAAATTCTTTATGCCCAGTAAACAAATCAAAATTAAAATCTCCTAAGAATACCAAGTCTTTCTGGTCATCAATCAAGGGTTTTATATGCATTTCCACATGTTGTTTAAAATCCCCAAAAGAGCAAGATGGATATTTGTAAATAACTACAACTTGGGCATCTCTACTTTGGTTTAACTGTACATTTACCATGATGAACTCCATAGAACCACTGTTCAGTTTTGAGATGCAGGTTGTTTTGTAAACATTTTTCACATATACAGCTGTTCCATGATGCGGACGTCTATCCAGATTAGCTGTAGCCTCATGGTTAAATACTGCAGTGTATCCCTGTAGTTGATAATTTTCAGCTACATCTGCACTAGTTAATCTTGTCTCTGAGAATCCAACTACATCTGATGCGGCAATATTTGGTTCATTTTGAATTTGTGGAAAGTGTTTATGAAGGGATCTACAATTGTTGAAAGCAATTTTGAAAGAACACAAGTCAACCTGATATAATGGGACATAACAAAGTTGTAGTGGTACATCTTTTTTCATTCTTTCCATTTCCTCTACCACTTGTTCATCCATAGCTAATGCCTGCTCATTGAAGTTTAGGATGTGAAGATGTTCTACTGAACGTACCCGGCTTAGTGCTACATAGTGAATATGTGGATTTTTCCTTACTTTAGTCTGAGACAAATCAACTACAATTTCATCTACAGTGCAACCTTGGGCTTTATGAACTGTCTTCCCTGCAGCTGGTCGTAATGGGAATTGAATCCTCTGAAAAGTATTGTAATTCAATACAAAAGACCGCTGAACTTCAAAAATTGGTGTCCAGTCCCCCGTAATTCCATCATGATACAAATGTTTGTATTTCTTACTAGTTGTTTTTCCAATAGCGGAGTCAAAAAATTTTACCCAAACAATGCTTGGCCTTGATATGCCTTCCATTCTCCTTTCAATTAATTTTACCTTACATGATGACCCATTTGTTAAACCATCAGATACATCGACATTGACTGAGATATCGTATATCATCCCAACAGCAAGAGTCAATTTTTGCATCAAATTGGCAGTTTTGCTAACATCATCAGCTTTATATAGAGATCTGAGCAGCTTTTCCTTAAGTTCCTTTGAATAATCCTTAATAACAGAATCCACTGAATTCACTGTGATCTTTTCTCCTTCAAGTTTTTCAATCAACTGATTGTTGTATGCATCTACTTTAGAATTCTGTGTAAAGAGATGAGGAGCATGGTGTGGATAATTGTCACTTGTTTCCGTTATCATGCATCTGTGTATTACATTCATATCTTCTGCTGTCATTGCATTGTAGCGAAGACGATTGAGAAGTTGAGCAAACTCAAGATCATCTTTCTGGCGCATTATTTCATCCAACTCAAAAATACAGAAATGCTCCTTCCAAAGATTGTTTGCAAGAGCTTGAGCATCATGATTCAAATCCTGAAAGATCCAACGGTCCATCACAGGTTTAAGTTGAAAGAAATCGCCAACAGCTATGATGCTAATGCCACCAAATGGTTTCTTGATGCCTGTAAGAAGTTGCAAACGACTATCAATGAGTGCTAATGACCTATTGCCAACCATCGATATCTCATCAATGATGATCAATTTTAGGTTTTGGTACTTCGTACGAAAAGTATTCAATTCATCACAGTGCAAGCTTTGTTGACTTTGATTAATTTTTTGATGGAAAGCAGATGCTATAGTTGCCCCTCCAATGTTGTATGCTGCCTTGCCAGTATAAGCACAAAGAAGTATTCTTATGTCGTCTGGATTTTCACCTTCTATGGAACATAGATATCTGTGCAGAGCTTGATAAAGTGCTCTTATCAAAACAGATTTGCCAACACCAGCACCCC